TACTTGGTGGGGAGGGCGGGTTGTAGAAGGGAAGTAGGAAAATGTCGGGTAGGAAAAACCTGTAAAACAAATTAGTGAATTTTCTTTTTGATTATTCATGCTGTCGTCTCGGTGATTTTGATCGATTTCATATGAGGTGATCTGTGTTGTTGGGAAGGCTAATTTTAAATTTTCTCATTTTGAAAGAAAAAGGGCATCGAAAAATGTGGGTGCCTTCTTCGGCTGCCCGCCTGCCTCTTGTCACTGTTTGCCTATGATTTTAAATACTTGTCTGGTCTGGTCCGCTGTTGTTGCTGCTGCATATACACGCGCTCACCATCATAATACATCGCATTATACACCTACTAAAACGCCCATAAATTATATTTTGTTTTCACATATTTAAAACAATTTTTTTCTGTGACAAGTTTCGTTGGATTTTTTTTTCAGATTTTTTTTATTTTGAAAAGCACTCAGCACTGAGGTACCTACCTACCTACAAATATATAATCGCTACGAGGTATTTTATTTGTTTTTAAATGACGCCAACGTCACCGAAAAGAAGTGCGACGGCATTGTCGAAGCTGGCTGGGTGGAGGTGGCTGCTAAGGTGTTTCGTTCGTGTTCAATCAGCCATCCCGGGATTATTTACAACTTAGCAGAGTATTATCGTTATTATTAAATATAATTTGCGTTCCGCTTCGGAGGAATGTGTAGGTAGCTAATCTGAGCAGCATCACTGGCAGCATTGGCAATTTAGCTTGACCGTTTAGCAAAGCAATCTATTTGGCTGACAATTTTCGTTTGGTATTTTTTTCGGTAGAGGGGTGAAGAACCCTGCATATTTTAAGTTAACGTTAAACGTGTGGACACTTGGGCTATTAATCTTTTTTATTTCCTTGGAAAAATGTGAAAGAATTGGAAGTCACCTAGCAATACCCTCAGAAAAAAGTATTTAAAAATGTGAGGCCACCCCGTCAACCGAAAACCCCACAAAACCCCACCTTCCATTCCCAACATATTTTCACACCTTAACAAATGGAAACCGATTGCTGCTTGGACTCCTTAAGTTTTATGCATATACCGATTGTGATGACTTTTCATCACTGACACATTTATGTTTTGTTTATATAAAAATTCGCTTTTTGTAATGGCCAATGTGTAAGTGTCTGGGGGAATTCATAAAAAACACAACACTGAGGAGCCCATTCTTTTTATTTTCCCCCTTAGGCACTTTTCTCCATTGTTTATACACCCATTTCATGTTATATTTGTTTAATAATAATATTTTCACATAAACAATAAATTTTGTGCCTCTTTGCCGAAAAAACAAGCCAAACATGCACTAGGTTTTTATTAGTTTCGATAGTTTACTCATTTCGATTATTACTTAAAGGCGTGAACGAAAATCTATTTTTTTTCTTCTTCGCCACCAACGAAATGAGTTTGCTTGTTTTACAAATTATGATGAGGCTGATGATTGGTGGGAGGTGTATAGAAAAGTGATTTAATGTTATATTACTTTTAACAAGCTAATAATAATTTGTAAAAAAGAACTATATGTGTCTATATGGCTATTGTATTATATATAGAGAGCGCGAGACGTAAATGATTTGTGCAAAAGTTTATATAGTCGGGCATCATTATTATTTACAGTCGGCCACATCTTTATCATTATTGTTCGCTGTTTTGAAGGCGCCATCTCTCAAAAACTATATATACATATACATGCTATAGTCATAAATCTAAACAGACAATTTTTGTTTTTCATTGAAATCGAATGTGTAAATATTTTAGTTTAAATTTGAATTTTCTGAATGAAGTGAAATAATTAATACACAGAGAAAATAGGATTTTCTTTCAATGAAATATTCTATATTTTGAATTCGAACTAAGAAAAGGGTTAGATATAGAAAAATAATATTATTTTCATGATTTTACCAACTTGAGACTACTCGAAGGACCACTTCAATGTGGTCGAAGGACCAAAAATATTAAGAAAACAAACGATTAAAAGCTCTGGAAATAGGCAAACTCAATCAAATGTGAATATGATGTACTTGAGGAACTACTACAAGGCCCATACACACATTTTTCAAATTTTCGACTGCTCGAAGGACCATATTTCAACATGGCCGAAGGACCAAAAAAAAATTAAGAAAAAAATGTTTAACTCTAGAAAAAAAGTAAATAATTTATTAAGAGAAACAACTTACAGAACTGCTTAAAAACACCGATTTTTTTTAAATTCGGACTACTCGAAGGACCATTTTTTAACAAGGGCGAAGGATCAAAAATATAAAGAAATGAATTTTGGTTGCTTTTGAGAGCATTTAACAATTCTAGAAGTTTTCTAACTGCTCGAAGGACCATTGTGAGCAAGATTGAGCCTGCTTTATATCTGTTTATTGTTTTGTAATTTATTCGAACACACATTTTATCACATTTGCAAATATTTTCTTATTTACCTTTTTCTACTAATCACCTATATTTTTCTCCATTCAAAACGAATACAAACAAAAGAAAATTACTACACCAAAACAAACAGGTTTATTATCGCTCTAAATAGTAAACAATACCTAGACGATGACGGTGTTATCTACAGCCCACGGGGAAACTACTGGTGATTATCGTCTTGTGGAAAACAAGTGACCACAAATAATCAACGCCTTATTTGTAAACGCCATTTCAAGCTGCCATTTTTTGTTTTGGCGTCGCTATGGTCAACCACACTTCCACAACTACCTGTTTCGTTCATTCGTTCGGTAGCTAGGCACCTGTGGCTTTGTAATTGACTAGAGGTGTTAACTGATATTATCGTTTCATTTTCATGTTTGTACCTGTTTGTGTGCGCATGCCTTTGCTGAGGTGTGTGTGATTGGTTGACTAAAATGTGAGGGATAAGACCAAGAAGTTTCTTAATGGAATTTTAAGATAGGAGGTTTCATGAATGAACGGGGAAATGGAAAATACCCTTACTTCATGAAAAGACCAATCGAAGGACCAATTCATTTATGAAAATTAATTTAACTGAAAGGAAATTATTTTTTTGGTATCGAAGGAACATGTATTTGATTGATAACAGATTGTGAAGAAAAATTAAATGTCATGGAGTCGAAGGACCAAAAATAATAATACAAAATTCTCAGCTCGAAGGACCAATTAATATTATTTATTTGATTACTAAAATAAGCAACCAAATATTTTTTTATTTATTTTGAAAAACAATTGTTTTCCTTCACCACCTTTAGCCAAATAAATTTGCAACATTTTCATTTCGAAATGTATAAAAAATGCATTTTAGATATTATTAATTAATCAACATGCATTGCCATGGCATGCTATATACTTCAACATATTTTTTTCTTCTGCTGCTAGACAAATGTTTCAATTCATTTTGAAAAACATTAACAATTTTGTCAGAGATTGCCACAATTTTGAAAATGTAAAGGCGAGTACACATAATAAAATAAAAATGCCAAGCATATTGTCGCCTGTGTAAAAATGAGGCGTAGCCAAAATACATGGGAGAGCATAGATTTTTTTTGAAACGAAAAAAAGAATAAAATACAATTATGAATGGCGCTAAATAATGTATATGACGAAAAATGTAGTGAGAGGTTAAGTTTTGCAATGCTTTTACAAATATGAGTGGCCTCATACCTGTAATATATGACTTTCAGTGACATAGTTAAAAATAGCAAAAGTCGTAATTCTCATTTAGGTTGGAAGTTTTAAAACATAAAGGTCAAGTTTTCTTGAACGAAAAATTTTTAGATTCAATAACAACTATTCAAGGTGTTTATTTTCGTTATATTGATTATCCTGCTTGGCTTTCAAAAGAATTTTTTTCGTGTTCTTGTTATACCACATCTGCAGTTTTTTTTTTGTAATGTTTCCAAACATCTATGAGGGACTGAATGATGACGATGAACGAACGACCGTACTCCTTTTGAAATTTGATGCACCGTAGTGAGAATGAAACAAAAACGAACGATTGTTTATTATTATTTTACCCTTCCATTATTATTTGGCCTCAAGACTTTGTTGTTTTGGATCATATTGTGTTGATTTTTAAGGTGAAATTCATATGATCGTTTTTTTTTTTCAATTCTACGGAGGAAGGATTTAAAGGAAAACACAACAATAACATTTCTGTTGCAATGTGTGCTGCGGGGGAGTTTTTGTTGCTGTTGTTGTTATTATTATAATTTTTATTGGTAAAGTTTGCAATTTCAGCAGCAGGTTGTGTGTGTACGAACAGACCACCCAGGTTTTGTTTGTTATGAATTAAAGACATATTATTTGTTGATCCAACAAATATAGGAAGACAAAGGAGAAGAATGGCAACAAATTGAAGCTTTGGAAAAAATAGTTCAGAATATATATTTGGAAATTAAAATTGTAATACTGAGGAAAAATAATTGGACTTTTTATTCGATATTTAAAAAAGGTTTAGTAAAATGAACAGTACTTCAGCAGCTCGAAGGACCAAATTGACCACACTTTTTACTCGAAGGACCATTTGCTTCAAAATTAATTATTTCTGTTGCTCGAAGGACCACTTTTAATCAATAAGAAATAAATTTGTTGCAAACACAAATCGAAGGAACATTTCCGATTGAAAATAATTCTATCAGAAAAATTAGAGAGTGGTTCCAATTAGAACAATGAATCGAAGGACCAATAAATTGAAACAAAAAACGGTTGTTGAAGCAGCAATTCAGAATACATTTTACTTATTAATTTTTATTTTGAATTTGGATCGATATTCACCCGATTTTTTCGACATTATATTGAAAATAAATTCGTTTGAGTGCCGTTGGGCGCCATATAAAGGTGAACAGATGTTTTGATAGGAAATATTTTATTTCTATGTTTCAGACAAAGCTGAGGATAGATTTTTCGAATTGCAGGAAGGTTCTAAAATCGGTGTCAATTTTTTTGCTTTAAAGATTTTCTTCTTTTACTCTATGGCTTTCCAATAAAAAGAAAAAATATCAATTTGTTTCAATACTTACATTGCATGGTGAATGCTGGCGATGAGGGCATACTTTGATTTATAATATTATCCTCTTGACCAAAACGTGATGTTGACGACGGCACCAAACATGACAACATTGGAATGGTGTGTTTGTTGAGCGTTTTTCTCTTGAAAAGAAAACGTTGTTGCGGATTTTTTTTTTCAATACAGAACTCGAGGTTCTTTCTTTATTCTCGATCAAATGTGTTTCTATGCAGGTTTCTTTTTTTATTTTGATACCTTTTTCTATAACTTCAAATATTTTTATTAAATAAATCACTAATTTATCCAAAAAATGTAGGTTAGACAAACATTTTGTTTAGATCCAGTTTGGTGTTGTGTTTAAAATTCAATTCAGCACTGACTTCAACATTTTCCGTTTTTATTTTGTATTTATAATATAATCCAGATTTTAAGCGGGTGATTTTATTTTAAAAGTGTTTTGATTTTCGATGGATGCACTTGTTGTTTTTTTATTGTATTTTTATTAAATGTTGTTTTTTTGTTTTCCTTTTTTCAATGGGGAAAATTGCACTTTTTTTACTTTCTTTTTATTTTGAAAGTAATTCAATATTGAATATTATAATATTTTTTGCTTGTTGTTGTTTGATTTCAAAATATTTTTTGTTGTTTTTGACTTGTAATAATTTCTGTAACTTGTATTTAATTCCGTCTGCTTCTTCTACGTGTTTAGTAATAAACGTTTTTATTTTGTTGTTATTGTGGTGTATGTGGTTTTTTGAAAATATTTTTTTTACTTTTCAATTTCTTTTTGTTTTGGAAAAATAATAATAATAGAGAGGAGAACAGCGCGTGTGTCTTTTCGCCGCGACGTTCTGTTCGCTACTGTGTTAGAACACGTTTGTACGCGACAAAGTGATTCCAATGATTTTTTTCACCGTTGCATTTGACTGTGAATGAAACAGCTCTGATAGACCGTCCGTACGAACTGTGAAACTCACTGAAATCGCACACACAAAACACCACAATCAGGAGCGGAGGCAGCAGCTCTGAATTTAACATCCAGTTGAAAAATTAAAGAGGCATTTTACGTTGTTTGGTTGTGTGTGTGTGGTTGTTTCCTCAACAGAACTCTTTTTTTCTTTCGTTTGTTCGTTCATCATCTGCGAGTAACGTATCCGTGTGTAACGTATTCATTCGTCCCGTATCAGCAATAAACCGACAGACACACACACTCACACATCTACACACACCTACTTTGGGATATACAATCAGAAAACGACCCTCTTTTGTTCTTCGTATTTACTACAGTGGAAATCTCTCTGCTCCGTTAACTCACACAAACACACTCATGCTCACAACTGTATTTTATCTCACACATTTGTGTCCGCCCGCCCGCCATGCGACCAACACTCAACTTTAAATGGGATATTTGTTGGTGGTTTTATGTCTGTCCGTGCACACACTTTTTACGTAGCCCACAGAGAAAAGGGAGAGAGAATAGCATCATCACAAATCTCTGTGAAAGTTGCTCTCTCACACTTATACTAGCACAGATGTAAACATCATTATTATCATTGGGATTTTTCCCTCGCTCTCTCACAGCATCCCACAAATTCAGATTCTCTCTCACTTTTCATCTACTCTTTACCAAATACTTTCTCTCTCCCCTACTATTACAGTTAATTATCATTGAGTGTGTTGTATTGGTGTAAATAATACCGTTAGCTCGTCTTATTCCTATGCCAGGTTGAACGGCGTTGATGGTGGTGGTGGTGGTTGTGTGACACACGGCATTTACTGTAAACAAAAACGTCGCTCATACGTTCATGTTTACCCAAATATATTCTCTGTTTTGATAAAAATTTATTCACTACGCGTGAGTGTGTGTAAGAGAGCTAAACATTTAACATGCTAACTGTAAATACTTACATACATGTTGTAGGTGTTGCTTTCTGTAGTGTTTCTGGTACGTGCATTAACAGAAGGGGTATTTTTCTGTTATTACGTTACGTTGACAGAAAGAGATGCAAGGTATATGTTGTGTATGTGTTTCACCGTCACCAGCACTGTTGTAACGGAGATGCGAAGTGAAATTTACTTCATTTCCGTTTCGGAGTTCTGTGGCTACAGACGTGCAAACACACACATGTGTTGTTGCTGGTACTCCATGGTTTAGTAAAATCTTTGGGAAAGATTACGAATATTATTTACATTACGTGTTCATTGGAATCGAAATAGCTTCGATGTTTAATTACGATGAAATATATGGCTATATCCTCATTAACCTGGTATTTAAATGTAGCCTCAGCATAACAAAACCTGCATAAATAGTTTGAACAATAAGAAACGGAATTTCTTTTTAGTCAGAATTTCAATAATTGGCATGGACGAAATGGAAAAATATGAGTAATTTAAGTAAAAAAACAGAATCTTAGCATCCACGATAACAAATTTAAAATATAAAGTCTGGAAGTTATAATACCAAGAGATATTGGAAAGAATGACTAACAATGTTTTATGGAATTAGCAATACTTGACGGAAGGATATTTATTTCAAGATTTAATTGTAGTAATACAGTAGAAAACACAATTGAGTGACAATGTTTGAAGTACTCGATTAATGGATTTCAAGACTTCATTGTAATACAGTAGATATCGGATATAAGCACATCTCATATAAGAAAAATTCGCATATAAGAATGATAATCAATAATACTGATTCTTTTTTTATATCTTCTCAGTGTAAAAATGGCTTTATATAAGAAAAACGGGAACAAGAAAAATACTGATATAAGATATGTTTGTCAAACACCAAAGCTGACAAAGGTATTTGAAAACATTTTATATAAGAAAGTTTTTAAGATTGTTGACCAATTTATTAATATTGAAAATGTTTTATTTAATCTGCGTAGTAATTCCCCAGCCAAAAAAAAAAAAAAAATAAATAAAATAAAATATTTTTTCATTATATTTAAAATATTGTTATTTATATGTATGAAAATATATCCACTTATTATTAGTCAAACTCTGAACATATTTTAGTTTATTTTGTATATTTATAAGCTGAATTGTTTGTTTTATAACATGTTTTTCTTTAAAACATGCTTTCTTTTCATTTAAACATTTTACTTTAGGTGGACCCCCCATTCTCGGGGTCAAAAATTCTACACTAATTCAAGAATGTCCCTACCAAATTTCAAGTGAAAATCTCAAGAACTCTTGAAGATATAGCCGATTTATTGTGTCAGCATCAAATAACGGCTAAAGGGCTTCTCAACCTTTAAACGCGTTTTTCTCTTTTGCGAATGGCGGGCACGATAACTCAAAAACTAATAACCCAATCGATTCCAAATTTTTACACGTTTCTCTGTGAGTGTATAGCTATCGTATGAACTAGGATAAAGCCAATCGGTGAAGATCATCCTTACTTTTTTAACTTGGTTTTTGGTCAAAAAAAATATTTTTTTTCAAAGGTCCGCCATTTTGGTAATTTTTGAGCGAAGTCAATAATCCTAGAGAGCCAGGCATGTACTCTTTCTAACATCGTTGGAATTTTCGGATTCCGATGTTCCAGTGAGCAGTTATCATGCCCGCCATCAAAAATAAGGACTTTTCTTTAATTGCAAAAAACAACAACAACAAAATAACAAAATTTTTTTGTAAATTCTTTTTCTTCTCTTTTAAATCTTCAAATATATATGTGCAAAGTTACAAACCTTAACAAGCATTGGTATTGACTTACCAGCCCATTGAAAATCTTGAAAAATTAAAATCGAGAATGGGTGGGGTTCCCTTAAGACAATTCTTATATGCGTATGTACGCTTAAAAGAAACAATTTTTTTATATCCGATAATTCCATATAAGAAAAAAACGCATAAAAGAAAGAAATCTCTAACTTTTTTAGTTTATACTGTACTATAGCGGAAAATATAAGTATTTTTCTTAGTAATAACAATTAATCTTAGTAATATAGATTATAAACGTTTAAAAATTGACGGCTTTAACTTAACTAGATATATTGAAATATGAGTACGAAAAGAGTAGATGAATAATTTTGGCCTAAATCTTTAGGACATACCTTCTGCATTAGAGGAACTTCGGGTAATGTGGACCCCATACATAAGAAAATACTTAAAATATGACAATGGCGCCTTAATATATGGTTTACTGATTAGTGAAATCAAACATCTAACATGATATTTAATACATAATTGCAATGTTGAAAATTTAGCATTGATTGAAGTCTGTGATTTGAAAATTTTTTAAGCACAACTATGGTTTTTTCAAATATAAAGAACATATGGTTTTTTATTTTCCACAACAAAAGTTTACGTTTAGCTGTAATTATAATTTTTATATATTTTTAAGCCGAAAATTATTTTTAAATAAAAAAATTTAAAAAAACCGGGACGTTTTCATGGGAACTAGTTCGAAACATGAGCCCATATTATAAACATATCTTCCAGTAAGCATATTCTGTAACTTTTTAACTACATTCGATATTATTTATTTTACAACAATTTCATTTGTTTGTTTTTAGAATAATAAAAGAAATTTAAACAATATAGAATGTTGTTAAAACTTACAGAATAGGCCTATTGATGGAAATGCGATAGAAAAAATATATTTCTGATAGTGTGTACGGCCTTGAGAAAATATAGCCTTTAAGTTAAGAGGATCTCAATTTTAAGCAGACTGATAGCCGATTTGCCTAAGCTACCCCGTATAGGGGCACATTCGTGCCATTTGACTTTTGTGACAAAACTGTAAAAATATTTAAATTATACTAATTTATGGACATTTACCAACCATAACGTTTTTATATCTGTTGAGTAAGTACTGAGATATAGAGCTCTAAAAAAGTGCCGAATGTGACCAGTCTCCCCTAGTCATGATGTAATTAAGATTTTAAAAATGTTTAAAATATCTCATATATTATATTTATAAGAAAACGTGTTCACTCATCTAAATTTTGTCGACAACTGATATGCCCATATAAAAAAATTGGTTAGGGATCGGAAAATTTTTAAACAGAGATTTTATGAACGCTGTTCAAAGGTGCCCCACTCCCCTACATTAAATATCCAATTAGTTCTTGGTATTGTTTTTCGTCAAATTTTTCCTTTTCTTCTGAAGTTTGCGGTTCCTTTTCTAATTTCATACTCGCTA